TTTTACCCCACCTACCTAAATCCTGCTTCACCGGAAACTGCTGTTAGGGGTATGGATTTATTTGAAAGTTGAAAGCACCATCTCCACCAGATACATGACGCTTGGGAGGTATAACTGTTTGTGTTTTTTGTCAATAAGATTCTATAATTAGGCCCATCAAAATTGTCAGCACCAGGCCCAATGTCAGCCTTAATCCATCCCTGAAAGGCACAATACATCTCCTCATGCCTCTCATTCAGATTACCTACATCACTGTTGAGCACTCTTTTGAGATATTTAGGAAAACATATGTCAATCCTCATAATTATCCATTACTTTAATATTACTACTTTTATGTCTAGATGTAAACGGTTTTAGCACTGTGCATACAATGTAGGAAATACCTTCTAGAGTATGTATTATATTTTATGTCAAATTGCAGAAATTTATAGTGATTGCTGTACATTTTTTCAATAGAGTTCACAGATTTTGCCAATCATCCTGTGCTCTGCTGACTACCAGTACACAGTAACATGTTGTCTAGATTAAAGTGTTCTACATTGTGTAGAGAGTTTTTACAATATATGACACTACTGGTGGCCTTCACATGAGCCGAGGTATGTAAATCAGAAGCTTTGTTTAATTATTGTAAAACAAAGTCACATCTGGATTAAATAGAATTGTTGAGCATGGGTGGTCAATACACATTGTGACCAGTAAATAGCCTTATTAGCATATTATAAGTAATTGACCAAAAGAAACCATGTTCTGTCCTCCCGTTCAAAACCCCTATGATGGTCACCATCTTGAAGGTATCTTAAGTGCTTGTCAGGTTTCCCTGTAGAAATATTATACCATTATACAAAACTGAAAGAAACAGCTCAAGGAATCTGAGCCATTTGTACAATTGCTATAATATTATGCAAAATATGTTAAAATGTTTTTGGGGAAAGCTTTGATGCCAGTGACTATTGCAGCAAGGCAGCTGTGGTTGTTTCATCTGTTAAAATTTCTTATAAATATACTACTGACAGATTCTCTCATCAAACCTTCTAATTAAAAATGTAAGATCACAGCTGAAGAGTTTCTTGGTTATTCAACAGAACTGAAGTTTTGACATGTTAGTCCAAATATCCCTCAAGAGTAAAGACTTAAAGGACCACTCTAGGCACCCAGACCACTTCAGCTTAATGAAGTGGTCTGGGTGCCAGGTCCAGCTAGGGTTAACCCATTTTTTCATAAACATAGCAGTTTCAGAGAAACTGCTATGTTTATGAATGGGTTAAGCCTTCCCCTATTTCCTCTAGTGGCTGTCTCATTGACAGCCACTAGAGGCGCTTGCGTGCTTCTCACTGTGATTTTCACAGTGAGAGCACGCAAGCGTCCATAGGAAAGCATTGTAAATGCTTTCCTATGCGACGGGCTGAATGCGTGCGCAGCTCTTGCCGCGCGTGCGCATTCAGTCCAGGAGGAGGAGAAGAGGAGGAGAGGAAGCAGAGAGCTCCCCGCCCAGCGCTGGAAAAAGGTAAGTTTTTAACCCTTTCCCCTTTCCAGAGCAGGGCGGGAGGGGGACCCTGAGGGTGGGGGCACCCTCAGGGCACTATAGTGCCAGGAAAACAAATATGTTTTCCTGGCACTATAGTGGTCCTTTAAGAAAGAAAGAAATAAGTATAGCTTTGCAATGGAGGAACCAGATGCTTCCAGGATATACAAGTCAAAAGGGAACAAAACAGAGACGTGATCAACTTTTGTGGTGGCCACATTGTGACGCAATCAGTTATTCTGTTTTAAGCTCTTCATCAATATTGCAAGATGTTATATAGATGTCACTTAGGGTGTCTAAGCAAGGAGAAGCCGTGATTTCCAATTTCAGAGCAAATTGAGACAAATAATAATTCACTATCTATAGATTATTTAAAATATCTAGGGATATTTTGCTACAGAAACAAATAAAAGAGAATTGCAATGTCAGTATTTAATTTTAGTTCTGATGCTATCAGCACTAGTGCCAAACAGAAATATACCAGATTCACAGGAGTAATGATTATTGCCAGAGGTGACAATACTTCTCCCAAATGCCTTCATGTTAAAAACATGCCAGAACATCTGTTAAATGTTTAGCCAATGAAACAAAGACAGAAAATGAGACATTTCCCGAATTACAAATTAGTTACTATGCATACTGCACGTAGGCGATATGGAATACCATGCAATTCTAATGCTTTTATTGAAAAGAAATATAGAGAATAGTATGCAGTGCTTTAAGATATATATTAGGGATGTACTTTGAAAAAACAAAATATCTCAAAGTGTTTGTTGAAAACACTTTCTAAATACATCTGATTCTTATCCAGATATAATCTGGCCATTGCATTTTTAAAACATAATCTTTAATTTCTGCCCTCTTTACACAAAACATTTACTAAAATATGACAAACAAACAATCCCTTGATGGGCTAGAGCAGGGGTTCTTAATACATTTTTCCTGTGGAACCCTTTAAAATAGTGTATCAACATCGTGGATGCCCCCAGGGCAAGATTAAGAGCCCCGTTGGCCTGGTGCTGACAATTATGATGGAGCCTAATTACAGAATCTTATCGACCAAAAACACTAAAACAGTCATGCCTCTCAAGCGTCATGTATCTGATGGGGTGTTGGAGGGAAACTCAAAGGATGCAGCTATAAGAAAACACATACTCTATGCTAATCTCTTTATCTAATTTATGCTTTCATCTTTCAAGTAAATCCATACCCCCTAACAGCAGTGTCCAATGAAGCAGGAAGTCAATTGGCGGGGTAAAAGAATGGGCCACTGGTGCGAATCACGTGACCAAAACTGCCAACAGGGGTGAACATGCCCAAAAAGGGGGCATGTCTGTCCAAAAAATTGGAAGGCCAGCCTGGCATCAGTGTCCCTATGTATCACAGTGTCAGGGGACACAGACACTGGGAGACTAAGGGACACTGGGAGACTAGGGACACTGGTTAGGAGACATGGGGACACTGGGAGACATGGAGACACTGTGTCCCTAGTGTCTCCATTTCCCCCAGTGTCTACCAGTGTCTCACAGCGTCCCCATGCTTCCAAGTGTCCCCTAGTGTCTCAGTGTCCCCATGTCTTTCTGCTGCCTTTTCCCCCTCCTTCACATACCTGAGCTGTAGTCTGTCTCTGCAGGCTGGGAGCTGCTGTCTGGACTCTGTGCTGTGTAGCTGCTCCCCTGCGGATCAGTGATTAGAGACAGGCAGGTAGGGAGTACACAGGCAATACACAGTGACCCCTATTGGTCGGTGCTGGTATTGCAGAGTAATCTCTGTTTATGCTGAGAAAAATATTTGCATTTGTATTGCCAGTATTACTGCAATACCTGCACGGCCAGGCAGCCTCAAATATCGACGGAGCCTTAAAATACCAGTCAGTTGGCAAACCTAAGAGTAGTGTGTAAAAAAAAAAAGGAAAAAAAAAACATTTTATTTTTAATTTTTAAAATGGGCCTATTCCATGGGCCTGGGCCTGGAGCTGCAGCTCCATCAGCCCCTCTGTTAATCCATCGTCTCAGGGTTATTGAAGTCAAGATCCTCTTAATAACTGTTCTCTGCAGGGCCCAGCCTTGGTATCCCAAATTTCCTAGAAATGTCTGCAGATTACCCTCTGCTACTCCCAGTATCTCACAATCACTGAGATCCTTCAGGGGACTTTCATCCTTTCGCCATCCAAGGTCGTCTTTTTTTTTTTTATTATTTATTTTATTTGTGCATGAAGTGAACACCTGTGTCTGCACTGCCACAACAGCTGGCGCGAGCACACATATAAAGACATATGACAATACTGATATGGCATTGAGAAAATAGTTGAGGAGAAAGAGAGAGAAGCACTACCAAAGAAGTATATAGTTTAAAATTTTTAAATTTTAATAGTGAACAAAATACAAAGTGATTATTTCACATATAGAATCATATTTGGTCTAGATATATATATTTCAAGACCCAAAAAGATCATATGAGAAAATATAAGATTTAAAAATCCAAAAACAGACAGTGTCTAATTGTCAAAAATATGAATGACAATTAGGGATAAATAAGTGGACACTGTCTACTGTAATAATACTATTGCAAAGTATCTAGGGTATTTAATGGTTAATCAGACTTAACAACTAAACGAAAAACGTTTGCTGCTAGAATTAAGTATGTTCAGAGTAACATTGGTTAAACTTTGTGAACATAAAACGACAGCGTCTGCTAGTGATACTGTTGCAATGTATTGGAATACTTTGTTGCAGAAAACAGACTTTTGCAAATAGAAAGAGGAGCGTCTGCTACGAAAAAAATACTTTCAATATGCACAAGGTGTTCTTATTCAAACTTTGCAAATAAAGAAAAAACGTCTGCTACTGTAGGTTATAAACGGAAATAAGAAAAAAAACCGCTCTTAGGATATGACAGCTTCAACAAAGCTATCTGATTTCGCTATACAGCTGCAGTTAGAATTAGATACATAATATGATAATATACAGCATACTGCCTATCAAAATTAATCCATTCTATGTAGGTGTCATGGTGTCATGTTTCTCCTCAACTATATTTACATTTAGGGTTAACCCCTCCACTACCTTACTATTTCTCCAGATATCAGGCTTTCACTCTGTTAAGTATGGCATTGAGAAAACATTACACATTTTTTCTTTTTTCTCTCCGAGGAGGAAACATATAGTAAAGTAAAGTGGGGCACACTAAGAGCTAGGCATGAAGAATAACCAGTGATGGCTGACATATTGCACATGTGCACAGTTAAGTAGCTTGTAAAAGAAGTGATGTTGGTGCGTCCTGTGAGTAAGTTAATCGGTTGCTTAGCTAGCAGCTGTGTCAGTAAACAATTTGTAGTAGCCAGGTTAACTGCTTATATGCCTGATGTGCCTAATATGTGTAGTAAGAGGTAATGCTGGTATAGTGAGCACCTAAGTTTGAAGTGTTGGCATGCTGGGTCTGAATGGTAAGCTGCTCGTGGTATGTCACCCTGGCTGGTCTAATATGCACGTTCTAGCACAGGCTTTGGGAGTCGTCTGTATGGCGGGTGTGATACCTCGCCAGTAGGAGCTGGCTTGCAGTGAGCCAATGCCCAGTATGGCAGGGTACGATTGTCCGCCAGGGTAGGGAATCGGGCAAAGTCCATTTGCTGCCGGGTGCCACGTGGAACCCCTCTCTGGGGCCGCTGCGCTACAAGGTGTGTGTATGGTGAGTATGTGGTCGGGCCCGCTGTGAGAGTACTTTGCTTGGTGGCATAGTCGTTAGTCCCTGGCGGGGGTAGTCGCTTTGCGGTGTTCCGACCCTCCGACGGCTCGGTTTGCCGTTTGCCTGACTCTTTGATGGGACAGGTAAGGGCTCTCTTGGTGGGTTGCTTTGTAGGGTATGGAGGACGCAGACTCCTCTGACCCCAGTGCCGTGGGCTCATTGAAACAGCAGCCGTTCACATCGACCTCGGCGCACATGGCGTCCGCCATCTTGTGTGCTGTGCCCGGGCTCCCAATCGGGGCAGTGGGCTCATTGGGCCTGGAGTGCATAGCCACTGGGTGAGGACCGGGATCCAAGGTCGTCTTTGACGCATGACCTGGACTATTTCAGGGTATCCTGGTATGTCTCAGGACTTTCAGACTCTGCTTGAGGACTCCTCTGGGATTCATGGGCCCCCGGAACTTCTGGGTTAGCTGGTGTTTTTAAACTACTTTAGTGAATATTATGAACTTCCTGTCTTCTCTTTTTTACAAAGGAAAGCCTTACCGTGCGATAAACATTTTTCATTCTGCTATTTTGGCAGCTCATATCCCGATTGATGTGTATCAGGTTGGGAAACATCCTTCTGTTTGTAGGTTGTTATGGTTTATTCATGTTTCTCAAAACCCTGGCTCATCGATACACCCAATTCTGGTATGTTGCTCAAGTTTTGTCATTCTTGGAAGCATGGTGTCATGTTTCTAAACAGGTCAGAAAGGAGACTTATGCTGAGGTTGACTTCAGGTAGTTTATTGGAGTTAGTAGTCAGTGTTTAGACAAAGGTAACAAAAAGGGAAAAGGAATAATAAAGATAAAGGGAGTAGTAGAACAAGAAATAGAAGTTTAGGCAATATGCCCCAAAGCAGGTTTAAAGGAGAAAGGGAAACCTATCAGTGAAATAATAGGTAACAAGTAAACATAATATCAGACAATAATAAACAGCATAATAAAGGAATAATGGATTTCAGGTTGGTTCAAAGTTAAGGAGAACAGTCCCTTTAGTTTGGAGGATTTGTACTGAAGTTACCAGATATGTTGTTCAAGGTTTTCCAGGAGAGTTGCAATTAATATGATGGTTAGTAAAGTCTAGGCAGGTTAGATCCAAATCAAATAAGGAATAATAGAAAACAAAGTCCAGTTTGAATTAAAGCACGATGTTTGGATGAATCAGGATGAACCGAGTTGAGCAGGTAATCAGGAATCAGTTTGAGACAGGAACAGATGTCTTTTCTTTATCAGACCATAAACAAGTATCAGTAAGAGCCAGGAGCAAAACACAACTTCTCTCAATGTAAAGGCAGTTTGGTTTAGTTGGGTGTGTCCTTTTATAGCAGATATAAATTAGACTTGAGCATTCATATTTGTACAAATGGATTTTCGTACGAAAATATGTATTTTCGTCCATTCGCACAAATACAGAATAACGAATGGCTAGACAAACTATTGAACAAACAAACTAATGGGCATCCAACGAAATTCTTCCATGAACCTTTCGTTAGTTCGGCTTTTTGAATTACACTGCTTGTAATTCAAAAAGTCGAACTAGTAACCGAATTAACGAATGGCAATATATTATCATTCTTTTATTCGTTAGTTCTGTTCACGCCCATCAAATCTGATGGGATTGAGCCGAACTAGCAAATACGTACGAATGGATGTGCCTTTCGTTCATTCGTATCGCTAGTTCGGCTTTTTGAATTACAAACAGGAAGTATACAACGTTCGCGCACAGAACGAACAAATAATTTGTATCAACTGTATGTGATTTTTCAATGCATTGCTCTAGCATATGGGGATGAATTTACTAATTTGCCTCAATTCGTGTATTCATTCATTCGGATGCCTTGTATGAAACAAAGAGGATGGGTATGGGAGTAAGCTGATTTTCATTTATCCAATCAGCTCACTCCTGTGACATGATGCTGTAGGGGCTTATACAATGCTACGTGCTGTATCGTAGATGAGTTTGGGAGTCAGCTGATTTTCATTTGTCTAATCAGCTCACTCCTGTGACATGATGCTGTATGGGGCTTATCCAATGGTGAGTGCTTTAGTGGGAATTTAAAAAATAACCAAACAGCAGTATAAAAGCAGGCAGGGGATCTTTCTCTGCCCTTCTTTGACTGAGTTTTGATGGTGAAACACTGTGCTTCTGTGCTGTGCTATCCTCATTACTTGTCTTAGAGATATTCTGTGAGTCTTGGTGTGCCTGCCATTTGTCACTTGTTAAATTTGAGACTATTCCTGAGACTTTTTATTTTTGTGCTTTCTGAGAGCTGTACACTGCTGTGCTGCTGACTGAGTCAGTGTGCCACATGGTGCCTGGCTGGCACTGCCAGTGCCTGCCTTCCCTGCTTGCTTGCTTACTGCCTAAAGCAACCAGGTTTTACTTTTTATAAAAATTCAGCTTTTTTTATTTAATCAAAATTAATTAGCTTAAATTGTTTTAGATTTAGAGTAAAGGTACAATAAATTAAGTACTTTAGCTTAGTGGGCCTGAGGGCTTCTGTCCTAGGGGTAGACTAGCTTGTTAGCCTAGAAGACAATAAATATAGTTTAGGTGCTGCTGTTGCTGCAGTGCTGTTTCATTCTGATAGAGAAAGTTAATTTTCTGTTAGTCTCAGCTAAGTGTGTTTGACTGGGTTTTTAATTTATTTTGTTAAGTGAATCTATATTCCAGTCCTCACAAAGTTAGTTTAATCTGTGCTAGTAAAACAACTACCCTGTTTTCCCGAAAATACACCCTACCCCGAAAATAAGCCCTAGCTGGATTATCGGGGTGGGCTGCAATATAAGCCCTACCCCGAAAATAAGACCTTTAAATGCCACAGCCGACTAAGCGCTCTATAGAGAGCTCTCAGACGGCTGCCGCACTGCCTCACCTCCCCTTCCCTGTAGCGTGGCCGAGCTCCTCTCTGGTCCGCGACCCGGCCGGACTGACAGGAAGTGCACACTGGGTGTGCACTTCCTGTCAGTCCGGCCGGGTTGCAGACCGGAGAGGAGCTCGGCCACGCTACAGGGAAGAGCAGGTGAGGAGAAGATTGGAGGGGGAGGGGGGAAGGATTACAGGGATGGGGGGAGAATATTACAGGGAGGGAGGGAGGGAGAGTAGGGAGGGAGTACAGGGAGGAGTATTACAGGAGGGAGAATATTACAGGGAGGGAGGGGGGATTACAGGGAGGAGGGGAGAATTACAGGGAGGGAGGGAGTATATTACAGGGAGGGAGGAGAATATTACAGGGAGGTATTACAGGAGGAGGGAGAATATTACAGGGAGGAGGGAGAGTATTACATGGAGGGAGGAGAGTATTACAGGGAGGGAGGGAGAGTATTACAGGGAGGGAGGGGAGAGTATTACAGGAGGGAGGGGGGGATAATATTACAGGGAGGGAGGGGGGAGAGTATTACAGGGAGGGAGGGAGGGGAGAATATTACAGGGAGGGGGAGGTGAGGGTCTCTGGGGGGGTTACACAGCGCAGACACCAGCTGACAGACTGGCTCTAAGCCCTACCCTGAAAATAAGCCCTAGTGTGTTTGTTGTGACTAAAATTAATATAAGACCCGGTCTTATTTTCGGAGAAACACGGTACTAGCACATGTCACAGTGACTGACCAATTAATTTTTCTGTCACTCACTCACCAACTGTGTATGCTTGCTTTGCAGGCAGTCAGTGTAAAAGTTAAGTAATATTTTTTTTATTACCGTATATACAAAAGTATAAGACGAGTTTTTCAGCACATTTTTTGTGCTGAGAAAGCCCCACTTGTCTTATACTCGAGTCAGTGTCTGTATTATGGCAACTTACATTGCCATAATACAGACCAGGACCGCCGGGCTTGTGATGAGCCCGGCGGTCCTGGTCGGTATTATGGCAATGTAAGTTGTTGGGGGCTGGGAGCAAGCTGTTACCTTTAGAGCAGCTCCGTTCAGCTCCCTTTTCCTCCGTGCTGTTCAGCTCCAGTGTAAGTCTTGCGAGAGCCGCGGCCGTCAGAGCGTTGCCAAGGATTACCGTGGCAATGCTCCACGTGGCACGCAGACTGCGAGATTGACACTGGAGCTGTATGGCACGGAGGAGAAGGGAGCTAAACGGAGCTGCTGTAAAGGTAAGTAACAGCTTGCTCTGTCAGGGTTTCTTTGCTGTTTTAAACAGCAACCCTTCCTTTTTCAGTGTCTGACTTTTCAGCTGAGATTAACGATCAGCTCCTTCACTATGTTGCCATGGTTACTCACCTGAGAATAATAATCAACCCTGCTGCTAATCAGTGCAGCCTATTTAAGCAGCAAATCCCAGTACCTCCTTGCCCTTGCATGGTTTCCTGTTCCCCAGAAGTCTCCTTGTTCCTGTTTGTTCCTGACTCTGGCCTTGTTCCTGACTTCGTTGATCTCCATTCTCCTTGTACACGGAGGCTGTTTCCTAAGCCCCCTCCCAAGACCACCACTTCCACCACCACCAGTGCTGCGCCTGCTTCTACCACGGACAGCGGCACATCAGCACAGGAGTTGTTGCCATTGCCAATGCTACCCCCTGCTCTAGTCCTATTATTCATGTAGGTGATGAGCCTGAGAGTGAGGAGATAGTAGAGGAGAGTCAGAATTCTTCAGGGAGCAGTCTGAAGTCTGCTAGTTGTGCACATATTCCCCTTCCTCTCCACTTTCTCCAATAGTAGCACCTGCTAATGCTACTTCAACCATTAGGAGACCACCACCACAATCAATTACCACTACTATTTCCAGGTCCACTGTTCCTCCTCGCAGTGGCACAGTTACTACCACCAATGTAACTGTGTCAACATCCACCACCACCACTGGTACTACTAGTCACAGTACCAGTGCCGAGGCTACTGTGCCAGCTCCCAGTAGTTGCACTCCTGCTGCTGCTCATCAATCTGCACCATTAGCAGCAGAATCCCGAACGGCAGACGCCAATGTGTTGCGCTGCAGCAAAGTTTGGTATCACTTTGAAAGTGTTGGAGATGGGTGCTTTACAAAGTGCAAACTTTGTGGGAAGGAAGTTAGCAGGGGGAGAGTGTTGGGTCATCTCACTAGTGCCGGGATGAACCATCACCTTCACAGCCATCACAAGGCTGTGTTATTGAGGGAAGAGGCAGAAAGTACTAGGGCAGGCAGCATAGCTGCTACTATTACCATGTCCAGTACCATGGCAGCTAGTAGTGACAGGA